CAAATCTTATTATTTCTTAATTTCGAGTTCCAATAAGAGACTGTAACAGAAACGTAATAACGATGCATTAAAGTACGCAAACGATTAGTAATGATTAAATCGAAACCGTATTGCATGAGATCGTAAGTAGTAATACGCGAGTAGTAATAGTGGAAGGATAAAAAGGTTAGAAATATGCACCTCGGTCGCGAAACGCCGATACGTCTTGACACGTCTTGCTATGTTTGTTTTCAAAGTACGAATGATGACCGTCCTCTGTGCTCGGCAACGCTCGCGAATTAGGTGGCGGGATGGGGGAAGCTCCGATGTCTCGCGAAGCTTGTTTACGAACCCGAGGGATACCTCGGATAGAAACCGCGGATAGACTGATTTTTTGTAAATTATTTACAACTTTAACTAGTCAAGGAATCGCGAATAATTCGTACTTTTCAATTGATATGCATTTACACGCACTAGCTGCTGTCTATCACACTAATTCAGTGAGTTTCTCAACTGACCGCTATCCATGAGAAGAGGTCGCTAAAATCGCCTCCGAATTTTCAGGTCGGTATGGCAGTCAGATTCGGCCACGAAAGTCCATAAGGTAAAAAAAGGTCTACTCGCATACCTCGTCTGTGGTGTATAGCTTGTCTACGGTAAAACTCTGCTAACAGATAATATCCTTCGATTCGGAGTTGTTTAGCAATGTCGTTAACAGAGGTCAGATGCTAACGGTGGCCAGGGGGAAGACATGGCAAGTGGTGGCCTCCTTCTGCGAGGTAGTCATGTTGCAGAAGGAGGCCGCCACCTCCTGCATCATCTCCTAGAGTATAGGAGAGTCGACAAAGACAAACTGCCCTCACACATGCCCTCTTTTTCTATTCTCCGAAGCTGCCCGAACTAATTTCGGACCGTCTCGTGGGAGTTGAGAGAGAAAGCCTCATATTTGCCTTTTCGTTCTTGAACAACTAAAATCCAACCTCGCGTCAACGCCATACGATTTGGAATCTCGACTGCCCAGGCATTTTTATTTTCCGACCTATGTAGGCTCATATAAGCAATAATGAAACGAAAAAATTTCGTGAAAAGTGCGTAGGATTTCGGAGGTATATATAATGACCAAAAATAATTGCACTTGACCTCTGCAAGCGAAAATAATTTCTCTAGAACGATTTGAAATTTGTTTTTCGCCGAAAAATTTAGGCACCTATTCCCCGTCGATTTTTTTTTAAATTTATTTGACGCTCTATTGAAATATTTAATACTTTTTTATAAATATTCATGAGCTCTACTTCATAAATAAATTTCAATGAAATACTACTACTATACCTACTCGTATACCTCCTGCGTGGTAAAGTCACGTACACGTGACAGTGGCCATCAAAGTGTGGCATGCATTTGGTCCAATCCCTGAAAACATGGAGTTCTGCGTGTCACGGAATTAATGCGTACCCGAGCTGGTCGTTTTATAGTTTATTTTATATCGCAACATAAAATTTGTACAAATAATAATTCGTAATAATATCGTAACTATAATGGACGATAATTGATATATATGTGTATGTGTCGTTTCGATATATATCAATTTTTCAGATTTGCACGCGATAGACGCGTGTGGCCGTGCACACGCGAAACAATCACTCCAACCGACGTTCGGTACGGCAGGGACGCGTTCGGCGTTGCGAGAAAAGTTCGCATCGAGCGAAAGAACTGACGTTCCGCTCGCGAGACAGCGGAGCGTCGATAATATATTTGGTCGGTCGGTATGCCGTTTGAACAACGGAAGAACGGGCGGTTTCCGTCGTTTCGGGGGACGATGCCCCCCGGGGTGGCCAAAGATCACGACAGCCACGGGGAACAGCCGACAAATCGACTTCGGAAACCGTAGATCGCTCGTCGATTTGTAGAACGCGCGGTGGTCGAGACGCGGTAACGGAAACAGTAATCGTGCGACAAAATTCTTCCTAACACCGTTCGTTTTAACAAATTTCATGGTAAAATCCAAAGAGCCAAGATGGACGTCGTCCCGCGGCGTACGGTAAGCGCGCCCGTTCTCCCTTTCGAGATTAAAAAAGAAACGATCGTTTCTCAGCGAAGAAATGAGATCACAAGTCGAAAGGAACGAACGCGTACGATTCATTCGGCTGGTCCTTTTTTCACGCTCTCCCCTAACCACGAGGTCTACGGATCAAAGAAACACCTATCGACGAACGTCGGCGTCGGCGTTCGCTGAGCGGTACAAAAATAAGAACTTCAACGAAGGTCGCTACGTACGCGAGATTCCTAAACGCGCCGCGTTAATCGCTACAAAACTAAAAGAGGACGCGCGCGTTAGCTGCGCGGTCCAAGAAATATCTTTACGTTAAAAGCGTAGCTATCGTTAGTTCGGGATGAAGGAGTCGCGTAACGGCCGCGACGGCGCGGGGGATTCCCGGTGAATTCCTCTCTAACCCGTTCCAGTCTTTCCTCCCTCGTTCGATCACGGATACACGGAACGAGAGTGGAACGAGTGGTCGTGGAGTTTGTCCGGCGTTCCACGGGCCCTGGTCCGTCGCCGCTCGCACGACTCGTTAAGTACTGGTACGTTTACCGTTATTTACAACTGACGGACGCTCGAAAGTCTCGGGCAGGCGTTCGATCGCCTCTACGCCACCCCCCGTTGCCTTCGAACGACCGGACTTACTGGTTAAGGCGGGTTCTTCTATGAACGTCAAACGCATTGCCGCTGTTACAATGGAGAACGATGCTTTTGTTTCCCCCCCTAAGCGAGTTTCATCTGTTCCAGACGGAAACGTCCTACGATTACAACGATATTTCGATTCTCTTTAGAAGAAGATGGAAATTTAATAGAATATGTTAACAATTTAAACAGTTTAAGTATTTAAAACATGGGGGATACAAAGGCGAAGCATCGTTCCACGTCGTATGGGTTGGTAAAGGGTAAAACGCTCGCGGAAAATCCCGCCTGTACGCTTGCTAAGCGCGTCGCGGGGCGCAGTCGAGTTTATGGTACATACAGAGGTGTTCCCGGTTCGCTGATTCGGTGAACGCGGGATCGTTCGTCGCTCGAATCGGCGGCGTCGTCCACGATATAAAAGTACAAAATGCGCAACGCGTCGCGGCTCGAACGCGACCGCCCCCCGGCACAAGGAGGCGAGGGGGCGCGTTCGAGCCGCGACGTTCCACGTACGCGGCGTGACAAATATATTCCCCCGAGGCATTCGCCGATCGATGAACGTCGGAGCTCGTCTCGGATCTTAAGATTTGCGGGTAAAATTCTCTGCGCCGTAACGAGGATAAAAAGGACCGTGCAACGAGAACAAACGGTTCCCTATACAAAAGATCGTGGGAGTTCCGGCCAATTAGATCACGCCGGAGACGCTGCAGAGATCTCGACGAGGAACGCTATTCTCTTTCATTGTCTCTCGTTACTGTACACGTATACCGAGGAGAATCGCAATGGAGACGCTTAGGCGTCGCATCGCGCGTGTATCAGGTAGCCGAAGACGAGGCGGCGGAAGCTGCGCGATTCGATAGACCAACAATTTAACAGATTCTTGCTGTCCGTCGATCGAAACGCGCAACGTTCGAGAAATATTCTTCTCACGTCGCGTACACGAGTTCCGTCACTCCTTCTCGAAGGTATGGCCTCTTATGGCATCGCGTCAGCCTTTATGCGAGATTCGTCAAAGACTCCCCCATTCGTATTCGTCCCTCTTGTCGCGGATTTACTTACACACCTACTTAATTATAATACAACATCGAACGATATATCGGTCGGCGATAAACGGAGTTCAGTCCACTGTCGGTCAACGACGGCCTCACAACTGTTCGGACAAAATGATCACACGCAGCGTCTGGATCGCGTCGTTGTCCAGAAGCTCGTCGGTCCTCTGCGAGGACTCCCCGTCCTTCATCGGGTTCCTGATCGTCGCCCCGTGCTCGCATCCCTCCGCCTCGGCCCTCTCCTCACCCAACACGAGACCCTTGGCTTCCTCGAGGTCTGTCTTGGCCTCTTTCTCCGTGGTCTCCGTGTCCCTGGACTTCAGGGCGGCGATCGTGGTGGTGGTCGTCGAGGCGGTGACCGCGGTGGTGATGGCGCGGGTCGACGGCAGGCTCGAGGGCTCCTCGAATCCCGGGAACGCCGCGGGGGCGCGAACCGTGAACGGAAAGTTGCAACAGGTCTCGGAGTATCTGGCTACGCCATCGAGGCCTGCGTCGTCGCGGTCCCTCCTGGCTATCGCGAACCGCGACAACCGACCCAGGGTCCGTCCCCTCGCCTCGCAGCCATCCTGGTACCGAAACGACGCGCCGTAGCTCGAGGACTCGAGCTCCTCGAGGTCGCGCTCCAGGGTCTGCAGCGTCCCGATCTCCGCGCGGTCGTTCCTGCGCCGTGGATCGAGGGAATCGTAGGACGCCGACTTGATCGGCCTACCCAGGCTGACCACGGACAGAGTGTTGGTGGTGGAGGCGACGGGGAATGCGAGGTTCGCGCGGTTCGACTGACCGGGTATCTCGGGGACCGGGTCCAGCTGTCCGATGCACTCGAAACGCCGTGGCGACGCGATCCCCGAGGCGACCGAGTTCACGCCGGAGAGGTATCGCGGGGATCGCAGACCGGACCGCAGACCGGACGTCTCCGACTCGGTGACGCCCAGGAGTCCGGACTTGTCCACGCGTCGAACCGACGGCGAGGATCCCGAGGGATCGTCGTAGGGTCTGCCACGAGGCTGGTTCCGTCTGACGGAGTACGGATCGCCGGCGTAGGGCATCGAGTTCGTGGCGTAGGTCTCCCTGTAAGAGAAACGAACGGGGGGATAGCTGGGGGCGGTGGGATTCTCGGCGATGGTGATCGTCATGACGGTCGTCGCGGCGGGCATGGACGCGGGGCTGGCGACTCCTGTCGCGTTGGTCGTCGGGGGAGCCGCGACGAGCGCGTTCCACGTCGAGCCGCCCAACGGTTGCGGAGGCGGGGGCGGAGGAGGCGGCGGCGGCGGCGGCGGAGACTCGACTGGGTTCTCGATCACGATCTCCATACGATGGCGTAGAGGATCGCGGGTATTGTCCACCGGGTGATAGTGGCCGGTGGGTGCAGCCTCCTGCTATAGCCAAGTGGTGCGCGTGGTTCCGGCTCGCGAGCCGGTAGGCAGATCTCAAACGATTATCTCGCGGATGATCCTGCGGCCACGGCTGTTGGGGGTCGAGTAGCCCGACTCGAGGCTCTCGTCGTACGACAGGCTAACCTGCTGAGGCGGCTTCGCGTCCTCGTCGTAGTTCTCCTGATAAGGTAGACCGGACACGTCGTAAGGCGAATCTGTCGGGCAAACAACGAACAAGAGGGGCTGTTAGAGCACCGGGGAAAACAAAAGAACGACGTTGCGAGTACGTGCGCGGAGAACCAGAGCAGGATGGACAGGATGCGGCTGGAGATTGGATCGTGTCGCTTCGAATACCGGAGTTAGCGGATCCCCGTAACGTGAAATCACGTTCTTTTTTACGCCTTCGACTTCAAACGCGTACAACTTTACGAAAATTTGATATCGGATAGGGCTTAACCTTGGAAACTTTCGACGTTCTCAGCTTTGAGACTTAGGGGATAACACAGTCAGGAGCATGATTGAGGGATCAAGAAATTTCGGTCGAGAAATTGGTAACCTTTGGATCAATGTTGCTTTGTAAACACGGATCTCTATTAGATCTCTCGCGAGTAAATTGACCACGCAAAGTCGAGGTTTTGTCGAGACGTAAAAAGCAATCCGAAATCACAAACATTTTGTATAATAAATGCTCGAAATTACTGCGATTCGTGAAGTAACGTTCGTCCGTTCGACGGAAAAAAAGAACCTCGCGTTGCACTCGACATCTGGGGTGGTTACGTTTTTGCAAGCTTCTCTGATTCTTTCTTCCGTGTCTTCGCGGTTTGTTAGAGCTGTTGGCATTATGCATTCGTTAACATAGCTTCGTAGAAAGAATCAAGAGGAAATCAAAATGTTTTCCGCCGAACGGACTCGTATTTACGAACGCCAGTAATTTCGCGCGATTGTTGGAAAAACTTTTCGCCACTTCCGTTCTCCGTCGTTCCACATTATTTTTAACCTTCCCGCGACCTTAACTGTGCATCGTAATTTAACGCGATAAAATAAACACGATAAACGAATCTCGTCGAGAGCATTCGATCGGTCGATTACGACTTGGCTAACGCGTCTGTCTATGACTCGTTATTTCTACTTGCGCGAGTGTTTGTAAGCGACACGGTATTATCTGTTTTTCATCTGCTATCAGCATACTGGTTAGAAGCAGTCGAAACGAACGATATCGTATCACTGTCAATGTTTGGATACACCGGTGCAAGTAGAAATAGCCCAGCGATGATCAGACATTCGAATCAGACTGCACGCGTAACCGATCAATTTTCAAACTCGATTTTCTTGAAAGCGAAACCGCGCGTGAAACACAATTTCATTCAGCGTTTTTCCTGTATTTACTTTCACACGAAAAATCGCCCGTTTTTCCCGCCATAACGCTTCGCGTAAATCTCCCTGCCTCTTCTCCCGCGAGAATTCAATTTCACGGGTCGCGTGTGCGATTATGCTGTACTTTCGACTGTAGCCTATAATTCTAAAGAAAATTTCTGAAGAGTTCGCTAATATTTCTCTCGTATCAAGTTTGTGAAAATGTAATGTGCAAAGAGGAGGTGGAAATTTCAAGCGCCTCCGCCTTGTGAATGATTTGACCTGTTAACTGGGTCGTTTCCAGACCAGAAACACTCCACCCCCGACCCTGCACGTGTAATTAAAAACGGGTAAAGACGAATTAACTTGCCCCACGGCAAACTCGAATCCGCCGAAATCTGTTTGTAACGCGAGTATTCGTTACGGGCTCGAAGGTGCATACATTTAGTCCGGTTAACTGTTTTCGGGCTCGGACGGAGAGCAAGAAATTTAAATGTTTCGTTCATTATGCCCGGAAATTAAACATCGGTTCGCCAGCTACGGAAAAAGAATTCCAAATATCTCGAACGTCGAAACGCGCGAGATCGTCGCATGCGAGTCCGGGGAACCCGTATCGCGACGAATTTCGAAACAATTTGCTAACGAAGGAAAATGACGCAAACGGGATCACGAGTGCCCGAAACGGTTTCGAATCCGTCGAGTGGCCTGGCACATCAAGTGCATAAACATTTCAGCGAATTTCTGGCAATAATGTAATCGCTAACAACATTTCGTTTCGTACCGGTAACCGTTCCAAATTAGATTCAACGTTTCGAAACAATCGTTTATTGTTCCCGGATTCTGGATGAATTCTTTCACGCGTGGACAAGCACTCGAAAAATTTATGAAGACCATTAACGGTGTCCCGTCAAGATGATCTCGACGTCTCGAAATGTCCCTCGATTCGGGGCGATCGAACTTTCGTATGACTAAATTGCCGGGGAACTCGCGACAGATAGAATTGAATGCCCATCGGCGGACGCGGGTCGATCGTGTTCCGGGGGGAGGGAGGGAGGGATGGAAGGGGATGGAGAAACGGCGAATTGGAAAAAGCGGAGAGCGAACGGTCGCGGAAACGAGAGAGTTCAACCAAAGAATACTACTACTCACCGACGTGTTTTTGAGACTTTACGACGGTGGCGAATGGTTCCGAGCAAAACTGCTGTCGACTTAGATTATGGCTTTCCCGGTAATCCTCCCTCTGCGGGAGGTAATGAGGGTGGGTCGGGTAATCCGACTCGGTGGTTGCGTAGCCGGCCAGGTCGTAAGCTTGGCCGACTCCGTTCGCGGCGGCCGACTTCATCTGCCAGATGGAGTCTTGAGAGTTCACGGACCCGCCGTTATTCGAGTTCGAGTAGCTGTTGTCCATGTAGCCCATGTTCACACCTGTCCAGACATTCGTCGATTATGTAACGTCGAATACAAAAGAAAGAAACCAACGACGAAATTCCTCGAAATTGTTTTAACGCGGAGAACCAGGGATCGTACGCGAACCGAGTCACGCGTTTCTATATCGTTGAGCATAGAAAGAAATGGGAAGTTGCCATTGCACTTTTCAGGTATACGGTCGCGCTTGGAAAAAAGTATAATCGTAGAAAGTTAGACGTCGTTAAAGCGTTCGACTTTTTGCTCCCCCATTGTTTCTAAGCGGCGGTGGAAAATGGGATACGTCTGGCTATGGGAATCGTCGTGACCAAAATATTATCTCTACCATTGATATTGTGATTCGGTTGGTGGTAACCGTATCCGGGCTGAGAGTACGCCGGGGTCTTGGAGTCCTCCATGGCCAAGGCGTGATCCAGACTGTGCTCGAGGGCTTTGTTCTCCGCGTAGTAGGGCGGCGGCGCCTGGCTCTGTTGACCGTTTCCCACGACGAGGCTCGGTCGTACCCTGACCAAACAAAGACCCGTCAGAATCCACGTTATCGCGAAACGCTTCGAGAATCGTGCGAAAACACTTACGCGTTCGAGTCCATTTCGTAATCCTTGGCCTTGGTGGCGTGTTTCCGGCGACACCGACAAAAGAGCAACAGCAGCGCGGCGAAGAGGAGGAAGACGGCACCGCTGACCACCAGGGCGATCAGGGTGGGCGTCGCCAGTGCTCCAGCTTGCGCTATGTACGGTGGTCCGACTGAAACAACGAAAGATGATGTCAAACGTTCTCCAAAGCTAAACAACCCCCAATAAAAGCTACTCACTCTCAGCCTCGGAGTACTCGCCGCATTTCTGCCTGTCTGCTTTCAGACACAGTCTGACTCTGATCCTGGGCTCGGCCTCGATGGCTTCCGGGTCGTCCAGGACGCCTTCCCTCTGCGTGGGCGCGCTGCCCAGCACCTCGAGCGGCCACTCGTCCATGATCTTCCACTGAGATTCACCGGTGGGCGAGGGCGCGTCCAGCTTCTCGATCCAGGCGACCAGCGAGAGGCAAGTGGCGCCCACGCTGATGCCCAGCATACCACTCTCGGGATCGTAGCTAACCCTGAGAGGCGCGGGGATCTTCGCCACGGCGGTGGTCGCGGTCACCTCGTCGGAGTAGTCCGAGTGGTTCTTCGTATTGTACACCTTCACCTTGAACGTGTATGTCTGGTGTTGCTCCAGGTTGGTCACGTTGCAGGGATTGGACCGACGACAGTCGAGCTCGAGCCACTGGCCCGCGGGTGGCCTGGGGACGGCGCAATCGGGCGCCACGATTTCGTCGCCACCGGGCACCCGTCTATAGGATACGAAGTACTTGGTGATGGGCAATCCGCCGTCGAAACCCAGCTCCCAGAGCAGAGCCACGTGGGTGGGCCCAACGTCCATCGCGGAGATGTTGATGGGCCTTTCCGGGGCACCTTTCGGCTGCAATTTTATGCTGGACGTGATGCTACCTTGAGCGTTCGCCGCACGACAGCTGTAATCCCCGTAATCCAGCTCGCGGATGTTGGTTATCCGGAGCATGGACGTGTACACGTCGTAATTGTCGCTGCTGGTGGAGATCTCGTAATGGCCGTCGCTCGAGGAACCCTGGAGACTCGCGGCGTTCGTCCCGAAGCTCCATTGGAACTCGGGTTTGGGCCAGGCTTGAACCTTGCACGCCACCTCGGCCGTCTCCCTCAAATTGTACGCCACCTTCCCGTGCTGGTGCAGGGCGATCGGTTCGTGTTCCACCTTCAGCATCATCGTCGACTCGACCTTCTTCACCTCGTTCACGAACACGCAGGTGTACTTGCCCCGATCGCTGGCCACGATCTCGTCGGTCTGTGGCCTGGCGTGCCCGAGGAAGCTCAACGTCGAGTTCACGGTGATCACGTTCCCGTGACCCTCGGAGGCGGTGCTCGTCACTTTGTACAGCCGCTCGTCCGCGGTCAGTTCCTGATCGTCCTTCAGCCATCGCACGCTAGGACGAGGTTTACCCTGAGCCACGCACGACACCTGGAACGACGACTCGCCGACCCTGGGAAAACAACGTTTTTCTATTTGCACCTTAAATACAGAATGGTCTGAAAACTATTTTCTATTTTTACTACACGATGTTTGCTACTAGGTTGAAATAAAATCTATTGTACAAAATCGCTTTGCGGGTTGTATTTATCAGAAGACTCCCTTCACGTTCAATCTAGCCATAAATTTCCGCGTCTTCTGAGATACCATCAACATTCATCGTTGCTAACATATTGGAATAAAAATAAGTACCTCTGAATAAAGATCGCATATTTTCTGAGATATATTCACGATATGAAAAATGAAATTTATGAAAATCTCAGTTTGTTTCATAATGCACGAAGCGGTCGTAATTAGCTGGCCGCTCCTGCGTGTACACCGATGATCATTCAAGTGTCGCGAGGTCACAGGGCACGCGTTAGCGACGACGCTCGAGCCCCGTGACCTCGTGGCAGCTTCAACGATCGTTAGTGCACTGTGCAGAGATTGCAGGAGGAAGAAACTCGTTGATCTCTAGAAATTTTCTACTCACTTTCTGGTAACGTGGGGTTGCAGCTTGGTCAGTATCTTGGGCGGTTGATGGACCGTCAGGTTGACGGAGGCAGCCTCTCCGTTGCCGATCTCGTTGGTGGCGTGGCACTTGTACGTGCCCTCGCTGCCCAGATGAACCGAGTCGATCTCGTATCTGGGCCCGGTGTTCTCCGAGGGCATCGATATCGTCCCGGCATCTCCCTCTTTCCACCATTTGTACCTGGGCTCCGGGTAGCCGGCCGGACTGGCCATGCAGGTGAGGATCACTCTGGATCCCTCGACGGCTACGGGCGAGTCAGGCGTGACCCTGGCTGGGCCCGGTTTGTGCCTGACTCTTACAGTTAACCGGGCGGAGGCCGAATAATTCCTACGCTCGCCGCCGGACGGATATATCGTGTTCACCGCCCGGCACGTATAGTTTCCGGCGTGGTCGGCGACGACCCGGCTCAATCGAAGAATCGAGCCGATCTGCCGAAAATCCTGTCGACCCTCGCGCAGCCACTCGATCACGGACGGCGGTGGATTAGCGGTGACGTTGCAGTGGACGGTGACCGTGTCCTCGACCTCGGCGATCCTGATCGCGTCGCCCTCGATCGACACGGTGGGCGGATAAAGAACGTCCACTATCAGCGAGTTCTCGCCCCTCTCGCCCAGCCCGTTGTCCGCCTGACAGGTGTACTTGCCCGAGTCCTGCACGGTCACCCTTCTGATGGTGTGCTGAAAGCTGGTGGCGACGAAACTACCATCTCGCCACCATCTTACCATACCGACCGCCGGTTTCGAGTCCACCTGGCACTCGAGGTTCGCGGTTCCGTTCACCTCGACCTTCAACGGGTTCTCCGGGCCGACGGTGACCCGCGGGAAATAGTTCACGTCGAGCGTCACCGTCGCGTTCAGCGTCTCGCCGTCCCGCATGGCGCGGTTCCTCACCACGCAACGAAAAGTCGCTCTGTCGTCCTCCTTTTTCGGCTCGACTAACAACGTCCTGCCGGAGTGAAGCACAGCGGTCTCGTTGCCGCGGTACCACCTCACTTCCGGCTCGGGGCTGCCGCCGTTCGTGTTGCATTGTAGCTCGAGCTTCTGGCCCTCGGTGGCGGACGCGGAGGTCGGCGAGATCGTCGGCGGCCCCGGCGCCCTGAGCACCGTCAGAGTGATGAACTTCCGGTGCAGGTCGATCCCGGCGCCGTTCGCCTTCACCCGGCACTCGTACTTCCCGTTGTCTCGCTCGTACGAGACGTTACGTATCTGCAGATCGTACCGACCCTCCTCCAGATTCATGAACACCTTGTACTGCGGCGACAGTTCGCGATTCTCGACCGCCGCGTTGTCGTGATTGTCGTTCGTGTGCGTCAACCAGAAGCACGTCACGTTCTCCCTGGGCGGGGAGAAACGACACTGCAGCTGCACCGTGGACCCCTCGTGCGTGTCCATCTGCGTCTCCTCCACGCGACCCTGCGCCGCTACTGAAACACACCGATACGACCGTCCTCGTTAGAAACCCCATTTTTCGTCCTCCTCGCCTCCGTCTCTATTGGCTTCGTCGCGCCGTCTAACTACCCCCGAAAGCCCGTTTCAGACTGCATCGAACCGGTCCACTCGCGCGAATGAAGACGCATCGTTAGCGTACTAGTCTATAATCGTGTCGAAATTCTATACGCAGACGATAGTTTTCGTCGCCAAGCTGGTGCAACGTCTGGGTCCGTTCAATTATAAACAATGTTTTTTTTTAAATAAAAAACATAACTTTTCATAGAAATGAGAAATTGTTTCCGTTGTATGTTTGATATTTCAATTAGTTACGTTGTACATAACTCCGCGCGACTCGAACGTTCTCTGTGTTCCGCATACACGTACAGGGTGTCCATTTGAAATGCCGCTGACAAATAATTTCGAATACAATGCATTTTCGAAAGAAGCGTTCGATACGAAGGTTTATTGGTTTCGATGGTGAAACGCAACTACCCCTATTTTTGATTCGTTAAAGTGCTTTCTAAGTTTGTGAACCCCTAATGAGACAAAGAATGCTATTCCTTAAACAGAATCGAGGCTCGATTATTTCTCTAACGATTTTGCGAAATGTTTTCATGGATCTGGTTTTTATATCGAAGATTGAAAAGAAATTAAAATATTGAAAAAGCAATTAAACGCGATCGCTGGGCTTGGTTGCTGCGCGCTACGCAGACACTCGACGAAGCCGACTCTTCGATCGCCATTATTTTACGAACTAATCGATGCATTTCAAACACCGAATAATGTAATTATTCTCTGTGATATAAGGAACAATTTATGTCGAATCTTCTAATCAAAATAGTCAATACTCGTATTTATATTAGTGCAGAGTCTCTGATCTTAAACAAGAACCTCGAATAAAAATAGAAATACGTGCAAAACAGCGAACGTCGACTCGCGCGAGGTGTACGTGTCGTAACAGCTGTTTAAACAATTAAATTTTTGATGACAAATAAACCAGGAAATCGCTCGACGCGGTAACGGAGAAATTAGTTATTCCGACAACAAAAACTATCATTTGCACCAGAGTTACTGACTGGACGCAAACTTTACGTAGAATGTGCTGCTCGCTATTAGACTATGGAGTTTCTCGCACGGCCGTGCGAAATACCTGGATTACAATGTAAACTCTGACCCGCGAATAGTACGCAACTCGGTTGCCATCGCTCGTACAATCCAGTCTAAGAGGTCTAAAGCCGCGTTCGCACGAGTACACCTTTAGACACAGGCCGCAATCGAGACGCTCGCTTGGCGCAAGGTGAATTTTAAAACGGACTCTTTTCGAACGCTCCGAGCGTGTCCCTTGTGGGAACGTGGCTCCGTGAGTTAGTCGTTTTCTATCGTAGAGAACATAAAAAAGATTCCTGCATAAATCGATAGCTCCAAGTGTATAAACTATGAAAAATTGTGGAAGTTACGAAGGTTTGAAAAGTACTGCGTATAAGGGGAACAGGTATAACCTGCGCGGTCCGAGTAGATTCCAGTTACAACGTTAAACCCGTTTTTCTTCTACCTACATTTTTCACAATCGTGGAAGGGATAACTCGAACACTAATATGTAGGTCGAATGACTCTATAATTGGAGAGAATCTTTCTTTATTGCCTGCCTATAAAAGATTCGAATGTTTCTTCGAAGCGCCGCCATCTTGTCCATTTCGATGCTTGTATTATTCCAGTTCCTACCATGAAGGGACGTCTGACAGTTATATAAATATCCTTCCCGCGGTGAGGGCTGCCCTTTTGTAACTAAAAATACCATCGACACGAAAATAATCTTTGATTCGACCGTTTACCTGGCAGAAATTAAATAACCCTTAACGCGACTTCGATTAAGGACAACGCGGACATTAATTTTCTCCAAAGACGGAGAACAAAATCGATCGTCGGTACGCGGTTCCCGATAATCGATTATTGATATCGAGTGCATACGTTGCGACTATTGATTATCGATATAACCGTACTCTACGACCGAACTGTATGACAGTCGATACGATGGACGACAGATAACTACTGGAGGAATCGTTCGGGGCAACCGTCCGTGGCTCTGACTGCTGAATATTTTAAATCCAGGGCACCTTTTAGGATAATGTTTAGCATCGGGGCGTCTCGCTGCTTTGGAGCGAGCGGAACACCCCTGACTCGCTGCCAGGTGGAATCGAGGAGCAGATGGGTATACATGGTTTTACGATCGTTTCGACAGACGTCCCGACGCAATAATACCCATATTCGCTTTCGTAACGTTCGACGTCACGACGGACAGACGATCCGTCGGTGTCTTGTCATTGGGTCGCATAACGGTAAAGTCACCGGTTTGACTTCTCGCCGATATCGCAAGACCTCTCTTTCCCCGCTTTCATGACTCTGCCCCCACTCTTGTCCGTTCGTACGAAGGGATCGTTGTGTTCCCCCTCCATCGAATCGCCTTCTCCTTACTCCGTTCCTTTCTTCTCCTCCCTCTCTCTCCAACCTTTGTCTCACCTTAGCTCCACTCCCCCCGTTCCTCCCAGTCCCCCATCTTTCCTGTACCTATGTAACGAGCCTATATTTACGTCTACTTGTCTCTCTATAAATCCATCCGCGCTCCTCTAACCCTCTTCCTTTGCCGCCCCTTCTTCACCCATCCATCGACCCATCGTAGTTTACGTTTTCCCTCGGTTCCCGCGCCCGCCACGCTCGCCGCGTCTTGTTTACTTTTCGATATCGCGTTCTTGCTCGCGTGCCATCGACGGCCCACCGGAAAAGCACCGACCGAATCTACGTTTGGTCGCTGTCATGTTTTACTAATGCGACCGGATTGGTTTGGTACATCACGAACGGAAAGTAGTACCAAAGGGGAAATCGATTATGGCCAATAGTGCACGCCGTGGAACTGTCGCGCAACCGTTCGACGCTCGGTTCCAGCAATGCCTGGCGCGCGTCCAGTTGCAAATTTTCCTGCTCCGAATCATGGGTACCGTTACGAGACCAGTTTCCGACCACTCGTCAAAATATACACTTTACTCACATTCGAAAAACCACGCGCGATCTGTTCGATCTAAAATTATTCGACTGTTCGAAAACATCGAAAACTTAACGTACATGCTCCCTTACATTCCACGACGAATGGCGTCGATATTTTTATCGCTAATCGTCCAGAGATGTTTGTGAATAAGAATATCGAGAATAAAGGAATCCTGGATCTTGCCTGGTCGCTCGCACGAAGGTCGATCCTCGCGTGTTCGTGCGAAGGAACCCTTATTCTCGAGTCTTGTTCTCGATAGCAACTTTTGACAGGGCAACTCCGCAACGAACGCCGAACATAAAAGTCACGGCGACGAATAATGTTTACGTGTCGCGAGAACAGACGCCCCGAAACCTACAACGGGCAAAGTTCTCGCGTATCGGCGTGTGCGAGAACGCTGCTTGAAGTTACGCCGATGGAAGAAGCGGCCGGAAAGCGACTCGTCGCTGGCGTTTAACGCGTCGTTCCGTGAGGAGACACCTGTGGCAGGGGCCTACGTCACGAGACCTAACCCGTCACGGCGTCGTCGTTCGATAATTCCCGAACGAGAAGCTGCTGCCGAGCAACCTGCATTCTCCGTCGAATTTACGACACGTCGATGTCGAGTTCCATCGGTTCTGTTTGTCAGTTCGCGTTAACGGACAACCGCTAGCATGGTCATTAGCCGAAGACCTATGGTTTTAGTTGGATTCCAAATCACCAGTGACGCGGGGGCAATATACTGTGGGCTTCTACATCAGTCCTGTCCAACCATAGACCTCCTCGAGCAAGAGATTATCCCCCTTCCCCAGGTCGAATCGAGAGAGTATCGGGGCCTACGCGAGCAGGGTGATTCACCTAACTCGTTGGTCCAGTCGATCCGAAGTTAACAGTTACACGGAGATGTTCCCGGAACAACGTGGCGGCAAAATTTGAGCGCGATTCGCGTGATTGGATGGCCACGGGCGGAGCGGGATAGGCGGGCGAGGAGCGCGGCGGTGCAAATGGCACATTATTTTTCGAATATCTCGATAACTGTTAACTTCGCGCCTAATGTACCGTGACACTTTTTCCCGCAGCGTTCGATACCCTTTCCAATTCCGGAATCGAGCGTTGGGCGTTGCAACGGAACTAAATTGGTGATAACTTTCGCAGTCCCGACGAAGAGAGAACAGCTGATTAATAACGTTACGTACGGGTCGCGTCCCCTTTGACATCGTGTTTGTATTCCTTTCAACGATCTTTTCATTCAACGAAGAAAGCCATTGAATCGGACGAATCGTTTGCGTTTGCGTACTATGGATGCTGCTCCCCGTCCATAAGAAGCTTTGGTCTCGGTACTATATTTCTATTATTCTTAAATTGTCGGGGGAGTATCGCAAGAGTCAACGAACGGTTTTGTACGAGGAGAATCGTCCAAGAGGCGACCAGAGCCAGCCGTACACCTCAGGCGGTCATCCATCTTGGCAACCACCGAACCCAGAACATAACTTCGGTAGTCAGAGGGGATTCCCCGTGCCTGTTACGAGGTAGAATCGTTATTACGCTATCGTTGTTCCTTAAAGGGGCAATATACCAAAAGCGGGGTGTAGTTGTTCGCTACTACGGTATTCTACAACCGGCGGTTGAAACCGTGATCGGTTACACCATTGGCCGAGCGAAAGGAGGCCTCTTGGCCTCGCCACGGCCCAGAACGAGTTTGTTAAAAGGACGCGTTGCGCTTGAGTCACCGCAACTGCGACATACCGACGCTGTGCGTCGACAGAATCTGCAACGTCTCTTCTCGCTTTCGCGGAATACGAAACCGGGACGAGCGTAACCTTCGGAAACGCGAGCGCCAAAGAACGCGGATTCTCGATCCGCGATCGAAACGGGGAGGAGGATCGTTCGGGGAATACTCACCGGGGCGCAGTAGCACCAACAGAACGGCGATGATCGGCATTCCCGTCGATCTGGCTATCCGGATCCTATCCATTTTATCGTCAAAACGATTTCCACGTATGGCTCGAGCGGAACGGAACAACGAGAGGCGCGGATCGCGCGCTGGCTCCGTTCCTGCACGGGGACAGAGTTTCACGTCACGCTGACTTTCACCGAGTATCGACGACGTTGCTGCGCGAGTTTCGCCAGGACGCGGCATCGATCGCGTCGATCTCCTCGATCACGCTCCTCGCGAACGCACCGTCGTCGCGATCACTGGCCGCATCTTTCGATGTTCGTTCCGTGGCGCCTACGACACTGTCACACCTCGTCTCGCCGTTTCTCTCGCCCGTCGTCAAACTTGTCGCGACACTGGTCGTCGTAAGCTTCATCAGGTTTGCAAATTCCTTCGTACGACGATCGTTGCTCGGACTTTTATCGCGACAACCGCGAACGCGTGCACAATCGTTTCGATTCCCGATCCACCGGCTGTGACCGGTATCCCATGGTCCGTCTATCTCACGGCGCCCCGACGATCGTAGGTTTCTCAACGCGCGCTGATTCCCACTCGCTCGTGGAAACGCGCCGACGGCCACCCGAAAAGGCACAACGGAACGTTTGCGCGCGATTTCAAAACGCCACGTTGCAACGGTCGCGCCGAGGCACTCCTTTGTTCCGGCGTTTGTTGCGCGAACACTCGCGCGCGTTCTACGGTTTTCGCACACCTTCCTCTCTCTACCGAGGGCCCTCTCGTCGACTTCTGGACGCCAGATGCAGAAACGATCTCCCCACTCGCGATGACGCGGGCGGTCCTTTTCGATCCACACTTTTTTTTTCTCCCCGAGCCGCGAAAATAGAAAGGTTGGCGACTCTCCGGGGGGAGACGAAAATAATTCCCGATCGAATGTATCGAGAACTCGGCGGCGTGTCGCCGCTCACGCAGCAACGGACGCGCGCGTTACTTTTCAAACACTTGGAGCGAGCGTTAAAAATTTCATCCGGTGCACGAACGCTGACAGAAACGCACTCCACGAGGGTCGCGCGACGACTGAGCTTGGGGTCGCGTAGCATCGGTGCTACCCCCCACCGGTCGACGTATCCCCGTTCCCCCCTGTGCCCCTCGCCGTTCTTGTACGCGCGTAGCGCAGCGTACAGTCTATACAGGGTGTTGAGAATACAGGGATAGGTCGAGGCATTTAATACTTGCTAATTTAGTACAAAGATCGAGTGAAAGGAGACGCGTTTCGAACACCTTTTGAAGGCGGGAAAATAAGAACACGATAAGATAATCCTGTGTTTACACGCGACCGCGTCGTTTGCATCCACCAAAACCGAGGATGCCTTCGAACTCCGGCAAGGTTAATTATTCGATTTACATTCTCGCAACATCTCACGTTGTTGTAAATTTCACGCTCCAGTTAGAAATTTCGGTCGATGCTCGTTAGATTTACATTGGCTCGCCGTTTGATCGACTCCGAATGAAACGTTTAACGCTCGAGACCAGCGGTTCTTAACATTTTCTTTATCATGGACATGCCCCTCAAAAGTATTTTGGAAATCTTGATCCTACTCTTTTTTTTTGACAGCTATACACGTTCGATTCGTAAACTTTCGCGAGTTACTGTACACCTAATATCACCGTATATCGCCAGGTAAGTACAATGCCATGAATGGAATGTGTATCGGTGTTAAAGCAACATGCGGCGTTTTTGATATCTTCAACGGTTTCTTCGATTCGCTTAAACGTTCTATAACGACTTGGTTTATTATGGGTTGTTAATGCTCCGTCTTTGTATATTCTTGTCTTTCCATGGGTTTATTCTTCTTTTTACATATTTGTTAGCGCTTCCCCGTTGCTCCCTTTAATATACTTTTTTGGGTTTTCGTAAGTACATACATTACAGGAGAGAGTTGCTTCATGCTTGCGGGTCATTATCGTACATCTTCAATTCCATCGTTATTATTGAATATATGCAAGCACAATCTGAATATGTGCATAATAAAAAGATTTACAAGATTTCTCTGATAAAATTATTGTCCCAATTGTAAGTTATTATGTGAACACGAATATGTTATTTAATATTAATATACATCGGGGTTTTCCTAATTCTTATTAATGCATGATCGTCAACATAAATAAATGATATTTAATTGTTGTTGCATTTGGGGTTTTCGATAATGAACTGATACAATTTCGTAAATTTGGGGAATATTGCAGGTTAATATTAGAACATCGTACACAAGTTAACATTGTATTGACCAGTGGTTGTATTAATAATTAAATTTGTTGTACGTTGAATGTTTAATTCGTTCGTTAAAGCATTAGTATACGATCTAAAGAATTTACGGTTTGGAGAACCTGTTGCCTAGATCGTATCGTGTAAATTATATTATCCCTTAAGTAGACTATTGGGGCTGCTTTAAAGGAAAGTCGATTTCCATTTACCAATTTGATAAAAATCAACGCTGAGTAAAATAATTTAGTCGAGAGTCCATTTGGGGGTCATAAACAGCTCTGCAACGAATTGATAACGATATAAAATAAAATTTTGGCGATCCTCTCCCGATTCTGTCGCGCCCGGTTACAGAGAATACCTTCCAAGCTCTGTACCGTATTTTTTAACACCCTGTATACAACCGGTCGCAGCGATGCACGGTCGTCGGACCGAAGCTGTGAGGTACGAGGATGGTGGCGATGGTAGCGAAGGTGGCAGAACCTGGACGGAAGACGAACGCAAAACACGTACGCGAGTGGGACAGAGACGAGATGATCGAGGGAGACGGCAGGGAATGATGAAGACGGGCCCGGAGGAAGAGGGTACGAGGCTTCGAGGGGAAAAGGCTGTGGTTGGAAGAGGAAGAACAAGCGAGAACAGCTTGCCCCCACCGACCTCTGCGGCAGGTGGTTCTTGCCGCCGCGGGCTAGGCCCATGGGACTGCCAAACCTTCGGTGCGACCGTCTGTCGCGTCGTCGAGCTTTTTCACCGGCGAACCCGCGCCACCGCCGACCCCCGTGCAATTTTTTAAGCTCCCGATCCACGATCGTGACCCGGAATTCGCTAAAAGCACGGACGGGGGTTGATTCGTGATCGGGACAAGGGAAGGAAACGCCGACCGGTGGTTCATCGACGGTTGAAGGACACCTAGGTGCAGCAGGTGTCCGCTCCTCTCCGCTCGGCTCACCCCCTCCGCTACCTGACTCGAACTTTCGACCATCTGCTCCTCGGAGGGAGAATTCTCTATTTTCCTAGGAATAAACATTCCCATCCTACTAAGTGCCGGGGATACGCTCTCGACGAAAGGTGCGCGGACATATGGCGCGCGTGAAAATCGACGCTACCCACCCCCGCGCGTTATGAACGAAAAGAAAGAGTGAGAGAGAGAAAGAGATGAAGGAGCACGAAATGAAATCGAAGCCGGGGTCTCGAGGACAAGAGGACCGCCGGAGCTCGACCGGGTCACCGGAGGGGAAACGATTCGATCGGGTATTTCAAAAAATCGAACGGACGGCAATTGGCAGCCGGGCGTGCAGGAGCTTCGGGCCGCGGAGCGCGTCGAAAATGCGCTTAATTAAACGGTAACGATTCCCGTTCGCGGCCCGTTAACGAACCTTCCATCCCGCATCCCGTGGAAAACGGTCAGCGGTATAAGCCGCTCCCCCGGAATCGTCGAAATAATTGCGGCCGCCGATAATTGCGCTTCGATTCGGAGCGTTTCGCGTCCGGTCCTGTTGCCCCGCGCAACATCCGACCCCTTTTGATTAAAAGACCGCGATTACGTATCGACGGTCCCCGGCGGTGTCCTCCATCTTCTAAAACCGTCCGGCGTCCGTAGATCGTGGGGATACACGTCGGTCGTTCCCGTCCGGGACACGCGAGCAAGGTTAAAACCTCGGAGAAAAAGCATCGTGCCGAGAGGGCAGCCTCCCGTGGCCGCCGCGCCGCGGCCAGTCACGCGAACCATTAAAGATTCAAAGGCCCGGAGGGCGAGCAGATGGTCCCCGAACCCGGGAACGAGAATCGAGGATCGGAGAGGCAACAGCCCGGACTCGGACTCCGGGCTCCGTACCACGGGCCCCGAAAGCGGCTGCCAGAAATTACCTAGGAAGCGGCAACACCGCCGTGCCGCGGTTACGTCCTACGGTCGTGCCGGTGACCGAGAGCTCCCTCTCCCCCACCTCCACCACACACGCTTCTCTCGAATCTCGCCAGGTTCTTTTCTACGCTTACGTTCGAATACGGGGACTACCGCCGCCTCTGCCTCTGCCTCCTGCGTCTCTTCTTCCACACCTCCCCTCTCCGCCGCCGCCCCCCTGCCCGTTCACCCGTTCGCTTGCCTACCTTTCCAACCTCACGACGTCCGACAACGCCGCCTCTCGATCTCGCAACGCCGTCGGGCCTCCGACGTAGACCCGGCAACCCCGCAGCAGCATCGGGCCCCGATAGTCCCCGGCCGATACCGTGGCTCCCGGGACCCAGCAATGCCTCGACTGTTCGACTTTCTTACCGTTACTGGTCTAGCACGTGCGTTATCGGCGCCAGGGCCTTTGTTCCGCGGCTAGGCCAGCCCTCCCCCTCGCCCTCCCCATCGACACGCATCGCGAGGAACAAATATCGCGCCAGGTTCACCGCGAGACTTCTGTCGAGATACCCAGCCAGCGATAACGAACGTATATATTGGAACATCGAACCAATTGCAGGGGGTCGAGTTAATCGTCGACACCCGTGGCAGCGTTTCCGTTGATCCGCTACGCGAGTTGTTTGGCCTGAACTTTTCGAGAGGCACTCGAGATGCGAGGCGCCCCGTTCGCGGAATCCTCGAGTCGAGCACCCGCTCCGTCTTTATACTCGACGAATTCTGTTTATTTATTCGCTCGTTTCTCGTGTCTGGCCGCGGCAGGCTTCGCTACGCGCAATAAACGTAAGATGCACGCAACGCGGCGTGAAAAACCGACGGGATCCTACGGAGCAAACGTTAATTGCTTGTATAATTTCTGGTCACCCCGGCGTCCAATTAAGAGTCCTGACCTATTTTTGCGATAGAGACGCGATAGAGATCGTGTTCAATTTTACGGGAGCTTACGGACCGCGCATAATTGCGCACCGATCCTCTCATTGAGCATCCCGTCAAAGCAATCCGAACGCATTGATCTATTTGAATGGGTATTCGGTGATATACGATATTAACGGGCCGACGTGCGTATACTGTAACGGCTTCTAAGGATACTAATTTCTGGAATCCCTCTGGAATAATTTATAGATTTTGCGGCTCTGTCGGACGCTCGCCCGGCGAAACGAAGAATTAAGCTCACGCTAAACCTTTGGCTTTGTTTCTTCTCTACAATAGGGTACACGCACCTCGGTCTGCGCGCTGAACCGGTCCATCCCGGTGCACCTCCATTGGCTCCACACTCGTGCTCCGTAAAGTATTAGTCCAGTCAAGTTAAGAAGCTATTCTACCGTGAAATGCGTATTTTTAGGTCCTTTTTCATAATCCTCTTCCCAAAGAACTATACAACTTTTTCTGGTTTCTGGATATTTAT